AAACAACAAAAAAGACCAGACAACACAAAAATGAACACTCTTACCTTGTTCCTTCCTCAGGTAAGTGGTACTCGCGGGTGTTGCAGAAGATTCGACAGCAGCTGCCTGACATATCCATCACCCTCATGTACATCCATGCTTGTGAAGAAACAGTGTACCAGCGTGCAACCGAACGTGGGCACAATGGTCGCGCAGTCAGTCCTGCAGAAGTCGCAGACTCACTGGAGAAGCTGCCCAGGGCCCTCCAGAAGCTCCTTCCATACACTGATTGTTTCATCCAAGTCAACAACAACTTCGATGAGCCGCAGGTGACATCCGTTTGCCACCAACTACGGGACGAAGAGGAGGGCTCTTTCTGCCAAGTGTCAGAAGACATCGAGTCCATGGGCGAAGTGGGTTGGTCAGGTGTCGCCAGCATCCTGAAGCAAGCACGCGGTGGCGAGCCTGCATCACCGTTGCCCGAGCCACCATCAATTCTCCCAGCGTCTGGTTCTTCGCAGCCGCAGCCTTTGAGCACCCTCTTCCACACTATTTCTTTCGCAGCCACGAAGCATCAACACCAGACCCGCAAGAATCCTCAACAGACTCCTTACATTAACCATCCGCTGGCCGTCGCTCGCATTCTGGCAGAAGTCGGCATCCGTGATCTTCCCACACTACAGGCTGCGCTTTTGCACGACACCCTGGAGGACATAGCATATGTGGCGAGCAGTTATCCAAAGCCTTGCTGATGCTGTCCACCCGCATTTGCAGGGCCTGTAGCCGTAGCCGTAGCCTGGAGGGTGCAAGCACGCACGCTCTCACATGTACAAGTTCTAAGCCAGGGTTCTCCAGCTCGCAACCAGCATGCCACAGGCCAGCTGTTAGTTTAGGACAACGAAGACCAAGATGACAATCAGAGTGTGGCATAGACCTCACCCATGCCACCCCAGCAAAAGCTGGGCAAAGAGACAACGCTGATCACAGAAGGATGAGTGTTGGTTGCAGGTACAGCCTTGGGCATGACTTTGCTGATGCGCCTGCGCCTACCAGTACGGTTGTTGTACTGTCCAAGTGTTTTTACGTTACTCCTACTACTGCCCCTGCTGTAGCACCTACCACTGCCGCCATTGCCACCGCACTGCCACAGCCAGCACCAGCACCATCACTGCCGCCATGCTTGCTGAAGTGCTTTTGCTATGGCTGCAAACAGGACACTGACACCAGCGCTGCTGAGATTGGTGCCACTTTTGGTGAGGAGGCAGGGGGCTTATGAAGGGCAGCTGGTGATAGTAAGCGGCAGTGCTAGTAAAAGTGGAAAAGCTGTTGAACTAGCCGCTGCCCAGAGTAAAACCGTGAAACCCATAGGTCATTTGTAACTTGTTCTGTGCGATCGGGTCCGCAGAATGTTTGTCTTGGCTAAGAGGAGAAGACGCCAGCGTCTGCAATTGCGGGTTGTGGATTTTGGATTGTTCTGCATGCCATCTTTTTCTGTCTCAGGCCCATTGAACATCTGTACGGTGTAGCTTTCTCTCGATTGCACGAGCCTGGTCTTGCCAGCAGCCCATGCAACTGACTGAGGTCCGGGAGCTTGTGGCTTCGCTGACTGATGACGTGACCTGTCAATGCACGAGGGTCCACACAGCAGAGCTGAGTAGATAACAGTGAGAAGATGCAATGCACATGGACTTTGTGGACAGCGCCTAGATGCAAAAAAGAAGCGTAGCAATAGTTGGTTGACTTACAATAGCCGCAGTTGTGTCAAACAAGTTGCCAGTGCCATGTCATAAGAGTAGTCAGGCTCAAGACGTCATTCTAATCCAAAGTTTTCCTCTCAGGACAGCTTGCGACCGGTCCACAGGAAGCTTGTCCAGCTTCGGAGTGCATCTACCCTGCCTCCCAAGGCAGCGCAGGGTAGCAGCCAAGAACTTCATTTTGAGTCCACCACCTGCAAAGCCTCAGAGGTACGGGTAGTGATGCTGGAGAATGCGGCAAGCAACGATTTTGAGCAAAGCCTGTCCAAAACCCTAGAGCAAACGTCATTTTCATTGAACGTTGCCCAGTTTTGGAGCATGACATGGCACATAAGGTTGTACGTGGGATTCCCCATGCCAAGCATCGAGTTGGGTAAGTGTCTGATTCCCGGAACCGTGGTGTGGGAGTTAGGCCTCGCTTTGCCAAAGACTGTTCAGGCCAAGCTTGTGCGTATCGCAGACAAGCTGCACAATGTATGGGATCCTGGATCAGCATTTGGAGAGTCATCAGGGAGGTCAGATTGTTAAGCAGAAGGCCAGCCTGTTGCTGCCACCAATTCATTGGCCAAGAGGTGTCCGAGCTGTCATGTTCATTAAGGTCAGCTAAAGGAGCGCAAGGACCTGTGTCAATCAGTCGCTAAACCTGAGGATCTGGTGCATCATGGCATTCCCTCCTGGCCAAAGGACCGTGCTAGTTTGAGCTTTATGGAAGGGAGGCTCCATCTCAGCCCCATAGCCCCCAGGGGTTGTATCCCAATGCCACCACCGCAGCAATGCATGTATTGGACAACTAGTTGTAGCAGCAGCTGCTGCCGCTTGAAGCTTGAACTTCCCATTGCCAGCGCTGGAGGAGCGCACAGACAGATACATTGCATGGGCAACTTGGCAGCGGATTCACCCTGATGACCATCAAAATCAGGATACAAAGCACCCACATTCCAGCGACCCACAGTTGGCCCCACATGAGTCGACAGCACAGCTTCGAAGTCTTTCAAGACCCAATCGTGCCAGCCCTGATGTATGTATATAACATATGTATATATATATACATAGATATTCATATACACTTGCAAGAGCATCAGGCATGAATCGGACATCCCTTCACCATCTCACCAGGCCTTCTACCGTGCCTGATGCAGAAAGTCAACTCCAAAAGCCCTGTTCCACTGTTGAGCTGGACAATCCACAGAACTGATCCGATTCCCGCTGTGTTTTCCCGCTTTTACAACTTCTTGCCCCCACACCGCAATGGGTTGAGAGCACATACTGTTTTCAAGTTATCGTCGCAATCATTTGCATGTCCTGCGAAATCTGTGCGGGTGCAAATAGCCTTAGATCTTTCAGCCCTTGCCATCCCTAGACCTTAGAAATTGTGGTGCCCAAGGCGTGCGAGATGGTGGCTGCCTTGGAGGGCACACATGAGGCCCCCGGCGTCAAGGATCCTCCAAACACGTCACGGGTTCCAGGGCTGCTGGGAACGAGGGCTTGATACCCATGCCGTGATTTGGCAAAGACCCCGAAGTTTTTCTAAACCTCCCAAAGCCTGTCTGAAAAGCTGTGAAACTTTTTGTGTCATAGATAGAAGATTGCTTAGGGCTCTTTGTTTTTGCGGCTACAGCTGCTCGGTCTGCCTGCCCGCAAGGCATTGGAGCAGAGATTCCACGCGGAAGTTTCCCTTCCACCGGGCTATGAACTGGGTGACTGGGAGCGCTTTGCACAAGAGCAAATGAGGCCGTGTCTCAACAGGGATGACAAGTCGAGTTGCCCATATAACAACATTGTATACACTTGTCGGGCATTTGGTTTGTTGCAGGTGAGGGAATCATCTAAATCAGCAATGAACCCAGAGGAGCCGATGTCTCTGTGAACTAGCCCGAGGGGACAAGTGCAGAATAAAGCTCGTGTATCAGTAGCCGCCGTGGACGAATGTCCAGAGTTGTTTTTCCATGAATCTGGGATTTGGAGGGGCGCCTCTCGAAAATCCACCGATCTTCTGGGCAAGGCTCTGTCGACGAAAGACCCTAAACCCCAACCCCAGACATACAGGCGACTACATGCTTTCGGTAAAGCTTCTCAGGTTTTTCTGATTCCCTATCCTCATTCTCAAGCTGGAGATCACTAGACACTGCAGCATTCACAGCTGTTGACTAAACCGTGACAAGTGACAAGCCCAAAAAAAGCATAGCTAATGAATGTGGGCGGAGCACATGTCAGCCTCAAACCAAACAACTTGACCACTGTAGGCCGATTTCATGAACAGCTTGCACTTCAGCATGTGTCATATCAGTTGAAAAAGTCAGAGGCAGAGATTCGAATCATCACGGCCTGCACGCTAACTGAATACGAGGCTGAGATTTGAATTGTCATGTGATAAGGGGTACAGCATGAAAACCACACATGGCACAAGGACATGTGATCTCGAATTCAGCCAGGCATGCAGAATCTTGGGAGCACGTGCATGTGCAAGACAGCGAGGCTGGGCTTGAGAAGTATTCCATCCCTTTAACATGGGGATGTTTCCGTCTAATCCGGCTAGAGGAGAAGCCACATGACTGCAAAGCGGGTCATGTTTGCTGCGGGAGTTGTGGGGTAAAGCCACCACGCTGCAACGCAGATCGAGTTCATTCTTAGAAGCTTGGGTCACTTTCTGCAACTGACTCCGCCCAAGTTTTCATACTCACCGTTCGGGGTCCTTCGCGCGGTGCCAAAATCCATGCAGGTGGCGGAAGAAGCAGCTCACACACCAGAGCTCGATGAGCAGCGCGCCGTCTTGTCTTTGTTGAAGGTGGCAGAGTATGCAACTTGGACGACAAAATCTGCTCTAAATTCGTAGAGGCGTGCTATGCGTCTCATAGCTGCAAGGCAGTGGTTGCCATGGTAAGCACAGTTCCAAACATCACCTGCCATGTTTAGTGGTGCAGCTAAGCGTGAATCTTGGCGACAGCGATGAGACAAACATGCCCCTTAAGAGCACGTGAACGTAGCTACGAAAAGCAAGGTTGCGAGCCAAAACGGCTCTCAGCTCATCGACAGCGTGAAGTTTGCGCTTCTCCTGACAGACTATGGAGTCAAGGACCCAGAGACGCTCAAGGCCATGGAGACCCAAGACATGCGGGGAAGCACTGACTATCGCGCTGCGCATTTGTGAACAACAAGAACAACCGAATTGTCAGAATTGTCAGTGGCGGAGGTCTACATGAAAAGCTACTCGTTTTGCCACTTGCCGCAGGGTGATGCTAAGAACTGGCGCAGTGAGTGCTCTTGCAAAGTTCATCAGCCAATTATGACCCCCAACCCCCCAGGTGGGGTTTTTAATGACATGTGCTGTTGTTATTTGCTTCGCTTGAGGAGATTTGCGGTAAGACCTAACTGCTCACTAGATGCCACGGCTGCGATCTGACGTTATGATGCTTTGCTCTTTGTTTTTCAAGATTGCTGCCTGGTAGTTGATAGTGCACTCGGTGATGCGAAGGGTAGTGAGAGAATGTAC